CCGTGGTCGCCGCCATCTTGCGCCGCCGCCGCCGGCCCCGCCCCCGCCTGACGTCACCGCAACGCGGGAACGGCGGACAGGCGCGGGCGGGCGGGCGCGCTAAGCGGAGCTGGCGGCGGGGCGGGGCGGGGCGGGCGCGCGCGGGGAGCTCTGTGGTTCACGCGCGGCGCTCCCGCGGCTCCGCCGCGCGGGCGGGCGGCGCCGCCGCTCGGTGCGGCCCCGGACACCGGCCCCGGGACTCCGGGACACCGTGGCGGGCACGGGACACCCCTGATACTCCGGCCAAGCTTCTTCCAGCGCTCTCCCTTCCTGCATTATACGGAAAAAAGCTTAAAGAAATGGGAAGGAAATGAGTTCTGCTTCACTTCTCTCTGCAACACACGCTCATAAAGCGGAGCCCAAAGCATCCTCCGAAAGCAGCCACAATTGTCACGAAGCGAAACGTCTCGGAGACCCACGGCAGCTTCAGCTGCTCCCGGAGCTGCTTTAAACCAGCACTGCTGGTCTCACTGCTGGGATTTATTCACCCGGTCACGTTTTGGCCGCCTTTTATTCACGCAGTCAGATTTCTCTGCAGCCGCGCTCAGCACGGGCCGGCCCGAGGCAGCAGGAAGGACGGAAAAAGGCACAGGAAGAGGCAGGACAAGGCAGCAGGGAAAGGCAGCACGAAGGAAAGAGGAAAGAGGAAAGAGGAAAGGCAGCAGGAAGGAAAGAGGAAGGAAAGAGGAAGGAAAGAGCAAAAGGCAGCAGGAAGGAAAGAGGAAAGGCAGCAGGAAGGAAAGAGGAAAGACCAAAAGGCAGCAGGAAGGAAAGAGGAAGGAAAGAGGAAGGAAAGAGCAAAAGGCAGCAGGAAGGAAAGAGGAAAGGCAGCAGGAAGGAAAGAGGAAGGAAAGAGCAAAAGGCAGCAGGAAGGAAAGAAGAAAGGCAGCAGCAGAAGCAGCTAGGTGCACGAGAGCCCAGCTCGGCGGGCAGAGCCCACCTGCCCCAGCAGCACGGCTCCCCAACAGCTTTGGGGTGCAGGCTGGTGACTCCTTTCCCTCCCCTCCACCTTGTACCCTGCTAACTCCTGGCCCGGGAGGATCGCAGCGACCACACCTGAGCAAAACCTCCAAGTGGGATTTTGAGGCACTCTGCAGTAATTTTCTGCAGTTGACTACAGTGCAACACTGCCCTGTGCAGCCGTGACCCCAGACAGCTCTGAGTGGGGGGTTCTGCAGTGCAGAGCACCCCTGCCCCTGGGATGCACACAGGGATCATCCCTGGGATGTGTGCAGGGATCACTCCTGCTCCTGGGATGCAAACAGGGATCACTCCTGGGATGCACACAGGGATCACCCCTGCTCCTGGGATGCACGTAAGGGGTCACCTCTGCTCCTGGGATACACACAGGGATCACTCCTGCTCCTGGGATGCACGTAAGGGGTCACCTCTGCTCCTGGGATACACACAGGGATCACTCCTGCTCCTGGGATGCACACAGGGATCATCCCTGGGATGTGTGCAGGGATCACTCCTGCTCCTGGGATGCACGTAAGGGGTCAGCTCTGCTCCTGGGATACACACAGGGATCACTCCTGGGATGCACACAGGGATCACTCCTGCTCCTGGGATGCACGTAAGCGGTCACAGCTGCTCCTCCAAGGCCCTCCTGACCACAAGATCCACTCATGGAAGGCAGCTGCAGCCCTGGCAAAAGCTGGAGGCCTGAGAGTCCTTCTGAAGGTCCAGAGAGCAGGAGCCTGAGCAGAGTTCTCCGTGGAGGTGAGACTGAAATCAGAGCTTTTAAAAGCATTTAAAAGCATTGGACTGAAATGCAGGCCATCCATTCCTTACGAGTTTAACAGGAGTGCCTTATTCTGCTTCAGCTCTAATCTGTTCCTAATCAACTTAAGACAAATTTTTTTAAGCCAGATTTACAGCTGTTAAAAGGATCCACGCAGCCTTTTGCTCCAGAATTGCCATACTGATTTTGTGGGAGCATCCAGGTCTTTGGAGGGGTGGAACAGGGACCTTGGAGCCGCAGCCACGTCGGGTGTGGGGTCACAGAGCCAGGGCTGCCCCAGGAGCCCAGCACAGCAGCCACGTGGAAAATGCATCTGGAGATTAACTCTGTCCCAGTTTCTCATAATTAAGCAAGATTAACAGATAAATCGTCCCAGCAGCCACCAGTATGAGTAGCTCAGGTTTGTTTCCAGTAAGGCAACAGTGGCCAAGAGAGGTTTGGGCAGCAGCAATGCCTTAAACAACACTTTGGAAGTCCAAATTCTGGTGATTTCTGTGTCCCAAATCCATTTGTTCATCCACTGCACCACTGCTGCTCACTCGGCATTTAAAGCTGCAGTGAAAAGAGCTCTCAGAGGATCCAGTGCTTCAGGCTGATTTACACAGGAGCCCTGAACATCCACCCAGCTCTGTCCAGAGCTCTCCAGAATCAGCTGAAGGCATTTTGGGACTCCTGCTGAAGTGGAAGAATTCTTTAATGTCAAAGCTGCACGGAGACCTGCTAGTGACTGCGGCAATTGGAACAAGAAAGTTTCATGTCATGGCATAAAGTTCTCCAAGGGTCTGAGCACTTAGATGGAATATTTGGTGAGCAAGGTACCAACAGTGATTTTAATCTGCAGAACCCAGCTCGGAAGCATCTGCATTCAGCACTCCCACTGAAGGAGAGTTGCCACGTCCCAACTCATTCAGAATCCATCTGCCATATCTGCAGGAGTGCAGATCAAGCTCAGTCTAAACCTATGACTCCAAACCATCCTACCCTGCTCTTCAGGAAGAGGCAGCTTGAATGGAACACAACTTACAGCTAGAGGAGGGAACATTCCTTACATCTGATCAGCACTAAGCTCTCAGGCAGGCAGGAACTGAACAAGATCCAAGTCACATTAACTTAGTAAAGTGCTTGTTGGATGTTTTTAGAGAAACTTCCTCACCCCAGCTCAGTTGGGGTTACTCCTCTGCATCCAGAGCAGAATGAATTACTTACACTTCTCCAAAGGTGTAGAAGTCTGGTATAACATAATGCCAGGCTCCTAAAACGCTGGCACATGATCACTCCAACCCAAACAAGCTGTGACAGGCTGCCAGGTGTCTCAGGTGGGACTGCACGAGGTGTTGTGCAACCACCAATGCAGCTCTTGCACTAAGTGCTGCCAGTGCAGCAATGAAAAACAGCAACAAGACTTGAACGTGATTAGTATTATCCAACTGCTTTGTTATAAATATATTATATACATTCAAACATCACATTAAAATATTATTCCATTACACCAGAAGAGATTAAGGCTTTATATTATTTACAGAAACAAGCAAGCACCTTAAAAAAATAAAAAGAACAAAACACCGGTCATTGACATTTCCCTTCTAACATTACGAGTTTGATACCTTGAGCTCTTGAATACAGCTATTTGCAGTGTGCCCAATGCTAGAACTATTTCAAACATTTATTGTCAGGGTAGGAAACACTTGATAGAAGACTCAGCAGTGAGCACTCCACACGAACAGACACATGTGCTGTAGGGTGCCCTCCCTCCCCTCAGAGGCCCCTGAAGTTGAAGGCTTATGCAGAAACTGCTCAATTCCACGAGGAGAGTAGAACGATTTTGTTTTAAGGGAAACTGAAGACACTTGAGGATTGGTGGCCCCTGGAGGAGCGGGATTCTCGAGGTCTGTTCCACATGGCATCAATCAGGCTGAACATGATCGTGCAGAGCTGTAGGTGGATCAATCACCGTGCATTGAGCAGTCATGATTTCCAGGCTTCCATTGCTCCCCCCGCTCTCACGCAGTGCCCCGCACTCCAACACCGAGTGCCGACCCTGCCAGCGCTCTCCCCGCAGGTCCTGGGCCGCAGGCTGTCCGGGAAGTTTGGGAATGTTGATACAACACACGTTTCCTGCGCCCCACGTGCCCCCGGCGTGCCCGGTACCTCACGGATACAGCGACGAAGCAAGCTCTAAGGTGTAAGCAGACATGGCTACACAAAAAGGTGCTCAGTGAGAGTAATCATCTTCATTTCAAGTATTGTTTTAAGAATTAGTTCTTTTCATTGCAGTCTGTGTTAGCACTTTTTAGTTTGTGCTTTAGAGTCTGTTATTTCTTTGCAGGTCTTGAATTTGGCTGATGGCTTTATTATTTTTTTTTTTCTTTTAAAAACAACATTGGCAACAAGTTAAGGATTGCAGAAGGCTGGCAGAAGTTATTTGATTTTCTGAGCCCATTTCATGTCATCTGCTCTTGGCTTCTCCCCAGTAAGTCCTTGGATGATGTTCTCCAAACATCTCCAAAATCTTATCTTCTCTAACGGATAATTCAGCCAACCTAATGGATTGCAAAGGAGAAAGAGGATTAGTTTGTCATAGCGTCCAAAGTTCAGCGTTTTTTTAATGAGAAAAAGAAGCAACCGGCCCAATACTGCTAATAATGGTCAGGCTTAAACTCTCAGCACATAGTAGGACTTAAAAATAGCTCTTTAGGTGGCAAGATTTTTGCTACCATCTGTCAAGTCAGGCTTCTTAATTGTACCATGTTTCTACATGACATTCTGCTAATGAGAATTAGATTTTTTTCTTGGCAGAGGTTTCAAAACCCACATGAACCGTTTGTCAAAGCCAATGAGAGAATGAAGAACCAGGATGGTTTAATTCCAGCTGTCTGATTAACTTGATAACTTATTTAGGATTGTGCAACACTGGTGACTGAGCATTCCCACCTGTATGGATATAAAAGGAAGCTAAAGCTTTCTGCAGACCTGTCCACCTCTGAGTCAGAATGAGTGGATGCTGAAAATCCAGAAGCTTGGCCTTTAGAAATGAGCATTCCAGAGCAGCTGTGGACATTCTGCTCTTTTTGAGCAGCTTTAGTGAACAAACCCCATTAGTGGCCTGAGCTCGAGAGCCCAGGCAATCAGATCCCAGCACCACTGAATGCTCCCTGAGGCTCCGAGTTCCTGCAGCTGATCACAAACCTTCCCCCACACTGTCTACGCAGTTCTGCCAGGAGCCTGCGAGAGCACAGTGAGCTGCCTGGCCCTGCAGGTGTCACACAGTGTCCTGGCAGGGCCCTGCAGGTGTCACACAGGTGTCACACAGTTATCTCACAGGTATCCCAGGGCCCTGCAGGTGTCTCACAGGTGTCACACAGTTATCTCACAGGTGGTCCCAGGGCCCTGCAGGTGTCTCACAGGTGTCACACAGTTATCTCACAGGTGGTCCCAGGGCCCTGCAGGGCACAGTACCCGTGGTGATGCAGAAGTAGGTCTCGTGAGGGGACACGTGGTGGATCCTGTGGTGCTTCCGGGGCAGGATGATGTGCCAGTCCTGGAGGAATATGACCCAGCGTGGAAGGCCGAAGTACGTGTGGGACCACTTGTGGATCTGGTTCGTCATGGTTATGAAGATGATGAGGGCAAAGACGTAACACTCCCAGGGACAGGTGTCACACAGCGTCTCTGCAAAACACCACGGGCAGCTGGGGCAGCGGCCACGGAACTCACGCTGCTGCCAGGACAGCAGAGCTCCTGCTCCTGCTGCAGCTGGCAAAGGCCACCACAGCTGCTCTGGCACAAGTGTCACAACAGCCAGCAATTCCCAAATGTCACCAGACAGGCTGGGAAGTGCCAAATCTGTCAACACGCCATAAACAGGAAGGCAAATTGAGTCTATAAAATTAATTTGACCCTTTAGTTTTTGACCAACACACCATAAACAGGAAGCCAAACTGAGTCTATAAAATTAAATTAAAATTAAATTTATTTAAATTTAACCCTTTAGTTCTTGACTTATGCTTTGCACAGGGATTATGCACTGTTTTGTGTTACACACTTTGGAACAATGAGTTTCCCCAGATGTTCACAGCTTGGTCCCTCTCACAAGAAACGTATTTAGCACAACTTCTAATTTTCCTTTCCAACTCCCTGATTCTCTGCTGAGCTAGAGAACTTCACTGTGCCACCTTTTGCCACCAGACCTCAAAGGAAAGAAAAGTTTCCCTCCTTCCTGCTGGGAGCATCATGCTTTCAACAGCTATTTCTTGTCATATCCCATCCGTGGATTCCTCCAAACTTCACACGTTCATTCAATAGCAACAAGAACACTAAATCCACAGCAGTCAGAAGTAACAGCTTACCTGGGGAAAAAGAAACAAACTTGTAGGCCATGTTTGCCAGGGGGACCAGTGTCATGAAGCAGTTGTCTCCATTGGTCTCTATGAAATCATGTCTGGTGATTGCTGTGGGGTCGATATGGTGCTCTCTAAAGGGTCTGATGAAAGCCTGGGGAAACAAGTGGATAAACACAATAGCACACTCAATAATGCTCTTGGAAAGAAAAATATTACAAAAATAACCCCAACAAACCCTCTCATACACTCAGATCTGATGACTGAGTTGAAGAGAATTCATAGTACAAAGGATGTAAATGGGATTCAAACTTTTGTTATGACACTTCAGAAAATCTGATCTACATTTGCAAAGCAATTCAGTTCCCCCACACAAATCCAGGTTTTCTTTGCTTTTCAGTTTTCTTCTTCTAAATTTTCATTTAGGACCTTTAGTATGCAATCTTAAAAACAAAGCATCAGCACCCTTATTTCCCAGGCAAATTAAGCTG